CTTAAATTTAGCTTGTATATTACCTTGAGCATTATAGGTCATAGGTTTCTAGCCCCTACCTTTTATGTTCTTTTGCACAAGCATCCATAATCCATAATGTTTAATAATTTCTAATCTAAACATATGAGTAGAATCAATATTAAAGACTATAGGTGGAGGATAATCCTTATTCATGACATTTGTATTATTGAGTTCTTATAACTCATCACAAGTTTCTCTACGATGGTCGTATTTCCATAATGAATATAGACCATGTTATTGTTTGCAATACTTTCATCAACTGGAATAGTTCATCCTTATTTATTACTAAAGCGAATAAGGATTAACTTATTATATTACCCCATTGGAAGTCCTGGAATCTTAATCCAAATCACTACATGATTGATGGAAGTTTCATATGGAATAAAAATTAGGTCTCCATTCCATCACAATGAACAAATGGATTTATTGCTAATTCAAAAATTTGGTACATAGGGTTATTGAAGATTGATGTTGAAAAAAAGACCAAATTAATTGAAAGGATTTTTGTGTGATTTCAAGTAGACATGCATATGATCTTTTCTTGTTGATTTGTTCAAGGTTTAGAAATCCTTGTGCAACATAAACATTCGGAAAACTAATTAGAACTAGATAAAAAAAAACCATTCATATCTATATCGATGTTACCTGGCTGGTAACGATCGGCATGAAATTTGGATGTAGTTTATAGGCTCTCTCATTGTGCCATGAGACCGGTCACACTCGTTAGGAGCTGAATTAACTATAAAAATTAAGTTAATTCATGAAAAATGCCTAAAGAAGAGACTAGATGCTACTATAATTTCAAATTGGTAAGAAACACTTTGGTTTTGTTGTTTATATTGGGTCACACACCACTAATTATGGATGTTCATGTAATTTTGGTTTATTGAGAACCGAAATACGTTCAAACTAGAGAAATTTCTTCCGTTGAGAACAAAAAAGAAAACTGTACACGTGCATTAGTCGGTTAATGGTTTATAACTTTTGACTCAATTGTCTTTTGGATGCAAACTTACCAATCTAAAAAGTTAATTCGGAGACCCACAACTTGATGGTGATGAGAAATTTGTAAAATGTTGTTTTCCGGATAAAAAAATGCACTTTAGAAATCCAATTTCAAACCTTTTTGTGATTCGAATCCGATAAGAAAAACTATATTATTGCATTACTTATTGAATAAATATGCTTATGGCAAGCTTGCAAGTAATTACCATGCGTTAGAAAACTCACGACAAGCCTATCGCATGTTGCAATTTTTTTGTGTCGAAAGACTCATTATAAGTCCACCATAATCATTGTTAGGTTATTTTCTAACTTTATTTTTCTCTATCTTACTATGCATGATTGCACGAATGTCCTTGCTCACATTATTGTTCATGTAGGAAGTTAAATGTGTATGCTTGATTTTTCTTAAAATTAATTAACTTAGCTAATTTTATTATTTACTAATATATGTTTTTTTTTTTACATGTGTTTAAGCTACATAACAAATGGATTGGACTAAAAATAGGTCTCGCCTTGGGTTATAAGAATGGACACGAATATTCGACAAGGTCAATGTCCATGACTTAACTTTGAAATGTATTAGAGATATTGAATTGGTGGGTTTAGAGTAAAATCCATTAAAAGAAAACTCAATTATATTTTTCTTAGTTTTTGCTATCAACTTAAAGTAGTTTAAAAAAAAAAAAAAACTAAACTTTCTTCAATTTAAATCTAATAGTCTAAACATGAATGATGTGGCATGATTCTAGTAACTAATGGCTATCTTTATTTCGCTATAAATACTAAACTTATATTATTGTAAAATGATTTTTTTTTCAAAGTTTCTAATTTTAACTTTTGATATCTAGAAAAAAAAAAAAAACTTATGAATATTTTCTTTCAAAACTCTCTCACTCCTGTACTATATATTACTTAGAACTCCAAATGTCACAGTGTTAGCTGTTTAACTTCTCCATTGTTTTTTCCATTGAAGAGGGGATGTGACATTTTGTTAAATCAAGTAAAAAAAGTTGTTCGAGTTTGACCTGCCATTTCCAAAGGTACATGAATATCAATTTAAACATCTAATCATATGTCTAAATCCATTCTAGTAAATGAAATTAAGTTCAATCTAGAATTTAAAAACCTTAGACAAGATCAGATTAAGTTAAATCAATCGAAATTGTCAAGTAAAGAAATCTTGAATTAAGAAGAAAACAATCACTTTCCAAGTCATAAAAAAATTTCTCGATTGAATTTATTCAAAGATACTATTTAAATTGAAACTGCTAAAACAAAGAGATATATTATTGGTGATTGGATTTGGGTTTGTTCGTAGTATCATCATATGGGCCTATCTTTTCCAGCATGGATGAATCAACTTTTGTCTGAGCCCTGCTTATGGGCTTCTTGACGACTAGGATAGAAACCAGCTCCTGTCATTTGGCATGGGGTCCCAGAAATCACGACATGCTCGTTCTCAGGTGACGTAGCAACAACTCGTGGTTCTGTATTGTCTGAGTAAGATAAGAGAGGGCCGAATCTATTGGTTGGCTGGTTGATGCTGTTTTTGGATGAAAGTTTGCTTGTTTGGTTGGATATTTTTTTCTTCCTAAGCAACTAACTAGAAGAATCTTCTTTTTGAGATGCAGAATGAATATTCAACTCTGTAGCATCAGTACCATGACAAGAATACAACAAAAAGCATCATCATCATCATCATCATCATCTCGAAAACCACCTTTCTGTTCCAGTAGAAAGTCTCAAGAACCAAAACAAAATGGTGACCCCAATGGTACGTCCAATTATGATTTTTTTTTGGGTTTTAATCAGTTGTTTAAGTTGGCTAATTTTAGGCAAAGCTTTCCACTGCGGTATGTAGGAGTAGGACTGTTTATTTCTTTGATATTTGATCAATTCCCATCCCAATTATGATTTCTGTATTCAAATAATTTAGTTCCCAATGTTCAACTAGCATCATTATCGATCTCTTGCCAAAACGGTAGTCTTTTTAGATACACAGTAGGCCACTACCACAATAGGAAATGCTTCTGTTAGCTGATCATCTTCCGTACTCTGTGGTTTAAAGATAATGGGCATCAGATCAAATCGACTTGAGAAGATATGATTCTTAACAGTGGCTCCTTTTTGCAGCAAATTAGATGCATAACATGAAAGTGAGAGAAAAAGGTAAACCAAAATAATAGAACAAGTTTGTACTATGAGGTTGTGTTCTACCATTGTGGCATAAAGTATGTTTTCCTTGTTTTGTTTGTATGACTAATTTCATTCTTCGTCGTCAAGTAGATTCTGTCGTTGAATGACAGCACTGTAGTTTATGATGCGTGTGTTTGTGTGTTCTGCTTGATTGGTGGTTGAATGTTTTTTAAAATCATGAAGCTGGGTTTTTGAGCTTGAGATTAGACTTCTGATGACATAAATGCTTTTCCACCCAGTGTAACAATGTTCTATTAGTTACTTTAATGGTACCTTGCATATCTTGATAGGCTAGATTCAGAAATCTGACTTAGTTTATATAGCAGGGATGATGATGCAATAGGATGGGATGGGGGGAGGGGCTGAGGGTTTCCAAATACATGCTATACTTTCAGTGTTTTTACATGCCACTCAGCTTTCAAAATATTCAGATGAGGCAATGTCATCTTCATCTTAATTGCAGCACATTATGATCATTCTGCCTTTTGGAGCTCCTTGTTAAAGTTGTGGTCAGTAGGACAATTTTACCTACACCCTTTCCATTGTGATTGCATTGTATGTGGAACTGAAAATTCTAACATCACCACTGCCCACTGGGTTCATTTGCTCTGTTTGTGAAGAGGAAAAGAAGAAGAAGAAGAAGAAGAAGAAGAATAAAAATCATGACATATGAATTGCCTACCCACTTTCCAGTTTTCCCTGCTTAATGCTTACGAAAATATACGAGCTATACTCATAGTCAAGCTGCCACTTATCTTTCTGATCTCCTTCTATCCATCAAATTTATCCACTGTATGACCATTTCACTAAAATTTTTCGCCAGTCCTGGTTGACTGGGAGTGTACAACTGATTTGCTCTGCTCCATTCAGGTATTATCATCAAACATTTCAAAAGAGAAACCTTTAAACCACCTCAGTTGGAATCCATTCCGACAAAGCTTAGCTTATCATTTATTTGGGATAGTCACCAAGCTACTTCACACAACACCCTTTTAACTAGCTTGATAAGAATCATATCACGAGAGTTATAGCTTTCGGTAAGGTCTGTAGCCTTGATAACGAGCACTTGGTCTAGTGACATACCTTAAAGTTACTTATGCTGTTTCAGGTGCCCATTATCGATCAGTTAGCAATGTGAATAAGAGCAATTTATTGGCAAAGTCAGGAGGGATAAGAGAGCTAGCTCGTATAAAGGAAAGACAATAAAATTCTAGCAGAGCAAGCCCTACAAATTGATGAATTTGTCTTCTTTGGTATAGTTCTTTTGGTTTGTTAGGTTCCATAATCCATATGGTAAAAGTAAGGCTGAATCATGGAATCGTGCCTTTTTCCACTTTGGTATATGTCATTAATGGATGTGTACGGGCAAACTGAGATTTAAATCAGGCACGCCCTAAACACCTGCTGAACTTCTGCTCCAACTCATCCTTGAATATCAGACAGTTGTCTGTGATGCAAACCGTCCCACCATATCAGAATTATTCTCAGTGAGGCTATGTTTTATTTTCATACATCTTGTCCTTACAGTTGCAAGGTCTTTATTTTGACATATTTCTTCTGCTAATTGTGCTGTCAATTGAGCCCAATATAAAGCTTTGAAGTATTTTACACTGGAGAAGCTTGTAAAAGATTGTATTACAAATTTTCCATTATCGTCACATAAGTAGCAAGGTTCGTGTCTTGTGTTGAACGAAATGAAAGAGTTAGTTCCATATTCGTAATTGCATACTCCATCTTTATGAACATCAACTTCGAAAAAATTACACTTACAAAATCTCATGCCAGCGTTATTTAATGAACTTTCCTCAGGTGATAAATTCTCAACAGACTGGGACAAGGAATGGTCAAACTTCAAGAAGAAAGGGAAAAAAACATTCTTCTCTCAGTTCTCTCCAAACAAGTACGTGACCTGGAATCCTCGGCGCTCAAACTACCCACTGTCTGAAGAAGTTGATCCCATCAAGAGAACAGAGAGGTCAAACCTCAGGTTATGGACCAGTCCAGAGTTTACTCTAGTGGTGGCGATTATTATTGTCACGTTTCTTTTGGTTTACACCATTCTCGCACCAGCTAAGTGATTCTACTTAAATTCTGTTACTCTAGTAGAAAGCAGGCTCTGTGCCTTAATGATACGAGGGAGGGTGCATACAGGGAAATGGGTGTAACGGATAGATTTGTAAATCATAGCTTGTAAGTAAATGCCTCCATCTCCAATACTTTCATATGTATTGAAGTTAAGATAACTCCGGTTATTATTTGGAGGAGATTAGAAATGAATCAATTGCATTGTGGATACTTGGTCCTCATTTTGGCCTGTTAGGGGACATTGGAACGGTTGATGCCATGGTTTTAAATAACGGCTGTTATATAACGGTTTCGAGTACTCTCGTTATTATTATTCGCCGTTGTAGGATTGTCACTAACGTTTTACACAAATAACGATGTTACTGTTATGTAATACTATTTTTTTTGCGTTATATAATGCCATTATATCATTATTATTATTGTTGCTTTTTTTTAAAAAAAAATTGAATCTATTATATACTTTTTCAGATATTATTTATATGAAATATTACATTTTCAAATTATAATGTATTTTATTATTTTTTGTGAAATGTGAAATCTTACATCTTGAAGTTATAACGTATTTTATTATTTTTTGTGAGATGTTAAGCTATTAGAAGTGTCATTAACTTTCTTTTGTAATAAATTCAATTGTTGTTGTATGATATTTAACTCGTTAGAGATGTTATTATTATTCTTAATTAGTAAAATTGTTAAAATATGTGAATAAGAATAAATTTATTAACATATGCTAATGCATTTACAACATCAATTACCGCAATCTGTTATTTTACTATTATGATAAGTCATTCTTTTGTAATAAATTCAATTGTTGTTATATGATATTAAACTATCGGAGATATTATTATCATGTTTAATTAGTAAAATTGTTAAAATATATGAATTAGAATAAATTTATTAACATACGCTAATGCATTCACAATGTTGGTTACCATAACCATTATTTTACTGTCGTGATAAGTCGTGATTTACGATCACGATTGTTTTTACAACTCGTATCTCGCTATTTAAAACTATGGTTGATACTGAAAAAGGAAAACTCGTTTAGGAAATTATGACATCCAAAAAGTTCCTTGATTCTCCTTGTTCCTTTATCAGCTTTGAATGTATAATGTATTTTATTATTTTTTGTGAGATGTTAGGCTATTAGAAGTGTTATTAGCTTTTTTTTGTAATAAATTCAATTGTTGTTATATGATATTTAACTCGTTAGAGATGTTATTATTATTTTTAATTAATAAAATTGTTAAAATATGTGAATCAAAATAAATTTATTAACATATGTTAATGCATTTATAACATTGATTATCGCAACTCGTTATTTTATTACTATGATAAGTCATTCTTTTGTAATGAATTCAATTGTTTTTGTATGATATTAAACTATTATAGATATTATTATGCTTTAATTAGTAAAATTGTTAAAATATGTGAATCAGAATAAATTTATTAATATATGCCAATGCATCTACAACATCGATTACCGTAACTCGTTATTTTACTATTATGATAAATTGTAATTCACAATCACCATTGTTTTTATAATTGCATCCGTTATTTAAAAATATGATTGATACTGAAAAAAGAATACTGTTTAGGAAATTATGACACCCAAAGAGTTCCTTGATTCTCCTTGTTCCTTTATCAGCTTTGACGGTTAAGTACACTGAGGGTGAATCTACTACTCCAGAATACTCTCAGTAAACCTTGCTTCTGAAGCTGCGATCATGGGGAAATGAGAAAGAAGTTCCTTGAAGGTGTACCTGCTAACATAAGAGGTTTTCTTAAATAAGATATATGTTTCTCTGGGTGTGTTTTGGAGAAATGAGGTGTGGTTCCTCATCAGTTCTCTGTTCATGCTAATCCTTGTAGACCATTCTTGCCGGTGCAAGGGTGCAGCTGCTGCGGCGTGCAACCACCGCGCTGATTTTGGCAAATGACGAAAAAAATATCACTGGAGAAGCCGGGGATGAAGAAGTGAGAAGTTGGCCTGATGTCAGAGGTCTTCTACATGATTGCCTGATAGTTGGCAAGAATCTCACTTCGTGGGAGAAAAAATACACCCAGTATCCATCAATAAGTCTGCCACTAAAATTGCCGTCAATAAAACCCATTCACACTTGTTCTTTGCACGAAATGGCTACATCCTACTCTATATCCACTTCTTTGTGTTCCCTTCACTTACGAAACACTTGTTAGTCGTTTGTCTGCTCTTCTATGTACAAGGACTTTTGGAGTTCTTTTCAAGGGGGACAAAGAGCTTTATCTAACTACGAAATTGGAGTCTTTAACATAGAAATGGTAAAAAACCTTGAGTCCATGTCTGGTCATTCGAAGCATAGACCTTGACTTCTTAGCTTTGTTTGCCTAGCCGGCCATCAGAACAGTGTTTACACTGTTGGTCCATAGACTTCTTCCTAGCCACGTTATCCACAACAGTGGCAGATCCACAATGAAGATGTCAGACTATTTTCCATAATCAATAAAATAAAATAAAAACAACACAATTTACCTGTCTTCAATCAGTACCTTAATAATCTAAAAGCGTCAACGTCAAAGATTAACATTAAGAGTTCTTGCCGAGTAGGTGTAAGATATTCGCAATGCTGCAGACCCCAAAGGTTTCGTGACCAAAACTCGCTTCAAATTTCTATCTGACGCAAAAGCTAGTGACCCTAATAAGACAGAAATGCTACCCACCAGTAGAATATGTGCAGTGCATATATACCCCAACATCAATCCATCCTCTCCTGCCAGCATCTCAAAATTTCTTCCTTGTTTATTTTCTATCAGAGACAAAATTTTGTTCTTTTACGCCAAATTGCTTGCTAATTTCTTTCTCCAAAACTACGAAGCAGCCATGGCCATTACTCATGAACTAGAAAAAAGCCCACAAAAGAAGAGGGCTATGCTTCCTCCAAAGAGAGGTCAAATAAAAAAGAACATGATATCAAAGCTTTTCAAGATGGTCGCCCATGTAGCTTCTAATGCGGGAAGAGCGCTGACAAGAAAGGAAGAAAATGGAGCCCAGGCTAGGCAACCAAATGACTCAATGCGCATATAATTCCATGGGAATTCTTGTTTTGTTCAGACGAGCACCGTGTGTCCAACATTTCACTGGCATTGATTGGTTTGAGCTTGTTCATTGCATCTTCTGTACTGTAGGATATCAATAGGCAGCAGGGTAGGCTTTCAATAACTTTGCCTTGTAATTTAAGGTTTATGTAGCTAGTAATGTACTCCCTCTGTCTCTCCATTTTGCACTTCATACAGTTGTAACCACGGCATTAAAATTAGTTGTAAGCACGGCATTGAAATTAGAACCAAAATGCAGTTCCCGAGAATAAACAGGGTTTGCTGAAAGGTCTTTCATCCTCATTTCAGCTACTTTTGGCTGAAAAACACTTGCACAAGAAACTTTTGTCAATATTTCTGAAGCCATTTTCTTACTCTTGCATAAAGACATTTATGAACTTCTCTGTTTCTGCTACATCGATAAGGCAATTCAAGCCAGTTCTCCAACATGAAATCCAATAATGTACAGAATCAGCAAAGGAAAAGTGCAACCCTTTATGTCCTTTTTTACGTTGTATAAAATATTCGATGGATACAAGTGGGGTAGCTGATATCCTTCTGCCCCCGTAAAAGAAGGCAACCTAGACATGTGGGTCAATGCCTTTGTTTGATGGACTAAGCTCTGTTTTGCCTAACTGATGGGAATTTTGTCTGACTATTCCTGGGATGGTTCAGGTCAGGCGCTGCAGTTCCGGAAATTCATAACAAGAATTCATGCAAGTTCCGAGTTTCCCATAATAGCAATTCAACAACCATGCCAGATGATAATATCACAAATCATTTTGGAACTCAAGTCTACTCTGTACCTTAGTTTTTTCAAAGCAGTGTTTTCCTTGAATGATGGCTCCAGTCCAAGGTCAGGAAAAAAAAATTATTGGACTAGATTTACTTGGATCAAAAGTCAGAACTATTTGCCAACCGAAAAGAAAAAACTCTAAGCCTCAAAACTTCAACTCTCTAAGAATCTGTCTGAAAGGTTTGGGAAAGGAAACAAATAAAAGAGAATTCCAGAATTCCTGACTATCGATAGTAGCTTAATTGCAATAAATGAAACATGTGTTGCAGAGAGTCACAACTCAGGAAAAGACTACTTTTTTCCAGCAAAAGTGATTCAACAACTTGGTACCTTGACAGTTTTCCAATTTCAGAATTCTAATTAAAGAAAGTATAGCAATACAAAGATCTGTCATTAGTAAGTTCTAAGTTCCCAAGTTGCTGAGGGCTTAAAAATTCACTTTGTTTCTACGTGGAACTAGCATTACTATCTTCTCCAACAGTGACGCGTTAAAGTTAAAATGGAAACGTAGTTCCTTCGAACAGACAGGACTTAGCTGGAAGGTATTTCATTCTTAGTTCTTCAGATAGATTTGGCTAAAAAGAAACAACTTGCATAAGGAACTTGTCGTTTGGCGATGCCATTTTCGTTTTAATTCTTTCTTCATTTGTTGCATTTAACCTGAAGAAATTTATGGACTCCTCTCTTTTCTTCATTTCCTAGGAAGGCATTCAAGACCATTTCTCTGACATGAAATCCTGTAATGTACAGAAACAAGAGTGTATTGATGCAAAAAAATGCACGGAAAAAAAGTAATGTACAGAACAGCAAAGAAAAAAGAGTGCATTGATGCAAATTAAACAGCTGATGATGTCCTTTAGGCCTTTTTGCTGCCTTTATGTTGTACAAAATATTCGATGGCTACAAGTGAGGACGCAAGTATCCATTTTCTTTCCCCCCGAAAGAAGGCAAACTAGACATGTAGGCCAGTGATTTGGTTTGATGCGCTAAGCTTTATTTTGCCCAACTGATGAATACTTTGTCTCCACTATTTCTGGGATGATTCAGGCACTGGAATTTGGGATTATCTTTGTAAGTCTAGGCTGTACTTTCGTAGGATATAGGTTCATAACATGTTGTGCTTTGTAATGATTGATCTTTGGAGTGTTTGCTTCATGTTTTTATTTGGTGGATGATCTAAAAAGCTCAACAATCTCTCTATATATTTTAATTTTACATATATAAATTTCTGGTTCCGACTTCTGGCTAGTGGGATGTTTGAAAGGTGGAATACCTTCCCCTATTATAGACACTGGTTTCAGTTGGAGGGCCTTAAAATTGTAAAAACAGAGAGGTTTAGCAGAAAATTCAAACCCAAGCTAGCGCTGTTCCTCTGTTGTGCTTTATCTGAGAGAATATTACTGGACTAAAGATTCAGCTTGGATTTATTCCCTTACATAATTGGTCTACAAAAGCAAGGATATTGGAAGCATGATTGTGTTAAAAAGAAAATTTTGGCAACACAAATTAAGGAGAGACAAGCTTTCCGTTAATGCAGGGTAGGGTATGGCTCAACTAATCTTGCTCCATATATACCTTTTGCTGGTCATATTATTGATATCAAAAAAAAAAAAAAAAAAAGAAAGCATTTGTAACCCAAAAGCAGCACCCCTTATTCTCAACATTTACTTTATCAATATGATCATCGTACAGTCCATGATTCCAAGCTAGTGGATCCATGATGAATTTGTTGAATCAAACAAGTGCCCTCGTTTGGACGGTGCCCATCGTCCTCCTACTCAAATACTATATCATTGGTCTGCCTTCATGATTTGGATTTTTTATTATCTATTTGAAAATGCTTAATTATGAGAAATAATGATTGGAGAAGAGAATATCTTAAAGGACGTATTAATTGAGATATATAGGAATTCCCAATCAATATGAGACTTTAAGAATCTATCTAATAAAATGTATGATATTAATAAAATGTATGATATTAAATTTAAAATGATTAATTTTAGTGAAAAGAATTCTAGTAGTTTAATTAAATAGTTTTGAGTTTTAATTTTTATATATACAGAAAACTTATTGAATAGTTGTATTCGTTTTATAGGTACGATCAAATAACAATAGATTAACTTGAATCTTTATGTTTTGATATCTTGCGAATAATAAAAAAAAAAAAAAACATCTTAAGTTTGAGGATAATTAAGAAAAGTTTCATGACATCATCTTGCTTTTTATTGTAGCAATTAGAATAAACCCTACACCATATACTTCTCATTAGATTTAACAATCCCAATTGCCAAATACTTGTTACGTCTCTAATGTTTCTCCTTGGATTCCTGGTATAATGGTATTTGGACTATTAACATAGTGTTCGAGAATGGGGGAAATAGGAGGAAACAGGAGTGGGAGTTTGGGAGGAAGAGCAGAGAGAAGGAGAAGTGGAATAATTTTCTTTAATGGCCCACCATTGTCAAATCAAGAGAAAATTTATTAAAATTATTATTTTATCCTTGGTAATGATATTGTATTTATCTCAAGGATGCGTATGTATAATAGTAATTTTGTCTTTCCCTCCTATTTTTATTTTTTTCAGTTTTTAAATAAAAACAATTTGTATTTACTTCACTTCACTAGGTAATTAATGACATATACGAGTAATTATTTCGAGGTTCAATTTAAGAAGAGAGATAGAAACATAAAAAAAATAGAAATTACATCTTTATCTATAAAAGTACTTAAGAAGATTTTTACGTCCGTTTAAATTTTTTTATTTTCTCTCTCTTGTTTCTCCGTATCTTTTTTTATATGTCTATCTTTTTTCTTAAAATATATCCATAAAATAATTATTATACATGTCACTAATTACTTTTGATATATTATAAAATTTCTATCTTATTTTTTACGTTCATCCGAAAAAGAAACTTCACTTCACTGCTTCCCATTTTCTACGTTCATCAGAGAAAGAAACGAAGAAATGACAATCCATTCACTTTACTTTCTTTCCTTCCTCGTTAGTTCTTTTTAGTTCGCTTAAGTGGAGCTTCCCAAGTTATTTATACCTATAAAAAATGCTAAGAAAATTATTACGTTAGACTTAAATTTTTTTATTTTCTCTCTTATTTTTTTATTTTTTTTATATGTCTATCTCTCTTTTTAAAATAAATACATAAAATAACTATTATATATATCACTAATTACTCTTAATGTATTATAAAATTTCTCTCCTATTTTCTTCGTTCATCCCAAAAAGAAACTTCACTTCACTGCTTCCCATTTTCTACGTTCATCAGAGAAAGAAACGAAGAAATGACAATCCATTCACTTTACTTTCTTTCCTTCCTCGTTAGTTCTTTTTAGTTCGCTTAAGTGGAGCCTGCCACGTGCGTTTGGAGTTTTGTAGAATCATTAATGCTGGTACCTTGTCTGCTCTTTTACCAGCAGAGAACTTCCAACGTGAAATACACGCATCATCCCTCTTTCAATTGGAAAAGTAAGCGCAAAATAAAAAATAAAGAATAAACATTTTTTCGCTGCATGCGTTTTCTTCTCCTTTTGCTCAACTGGACGAAGCATGGAAAATAAAGGGAACACTTTGCTTCCTTTCTTAAGTTAAATAAAAGGTGGAGAAAAAAGCCGCCTATACAGTAGTTGTGTGGATTTTTGAATGGAAAGATGCGTGGCTAAGGTGATTTCTTAAGTGGACCACCGTACATCACGAAAAGCATACCCACCCAAATACCAATCGGGTATCATAAACGGGCTATTATCAGGTTTAATTGGATCGGGTACGGATGACGTGACGGATGTTAAAAAATGGTCAACAGTACATCACGACTTTGAATTTTCTAACAAATCCTTTCTGCCTCCTCCAAGTTTTAGCTGTCCATCTCCATCCATTCATCGGCAGACTTTCAAGACATTTGGCACTGGGGTAGAATCTTCCAGAATGGATTGGGGACTTCCCCAGGGTTTGAAAAGTTCATTGTTGCATCTTTTTATTATAAAATGAGTGCTCTCAAGGGATTGGTGTATTGGAAAGAAATTTATGCTATTGGTGTTCCAACATTTCATTGACATTCTGTATGAGAATTGCTGCACTCTAAAGTAATCTTCCCAAGAATTTACAAATATAGAATTGCTGCACTCTAAAGTAATCTTCCCAAGAATTCATTTAAAAAAAAAACACTCTTTATGAGATACATAAAAAAAAAAAATGAAAACTAATATTAATTTCCCTAAACTGATAATTATAAATAATTCTAGACGTAGTGTAAATTTTACAAATCAATTTTCTTGATAATCATTAAAGTATTAAAACGCCCTTACCTTTGGCCAGCATTATTCATAATATAATACTCTATTTGTTCTAAAAAAATTATTTTTTTTATTTATATATGTCCTAAAATATTTGTTTAGTCAAAGTTTTTAATATTGTATTTTCTCAAAATCTCCCTAATTGATAAATAAAATCAATTATCTCTTATATTTCCTCCTTGAAACAAGAATAATATATTTTAGAAAAGTACGAGTTAGTTATCCGCGTTACGCAGTGAGGCGGCGTGGCATTGTTCTCAACGGAGGTTGATGTTTCATAGAGTTTTTGTTAAGAGAAGTCAAGCAACTAATTTGGTTATTGTATCTGATGAGCAATTGTAAATTCTATCTATAGGCAAGTGCAATTGTGATTTGTTCCGAAAGCCTTTTTTTAAATAAAACAACAGATATTGCATACGTCATGTCTTGGTAGCTTGTGGATTTTTCAACCATCAATGAATAGCAACTTGTTTTTAGATAATAAGTCCATACGCATGGATATTGCCTATGAATGATAATTTGTATCGGTCAATAGAGATGAAATAAGTATTAAGGATGGGTTTTCACTAGGGTGTAGGTAGTATGGACTAGCAAGGTGATCCTCAAGTCTGATAGTGTTTTGGTTATTAGGCTGACTTTGCTACCCTTGATTTGCAGCAATGCTGGCGTAAGAGGTTCCTGACATGATGGAGGTTGACAAGAAAATCAATACATTCTGAAGATGATAGAAACATTGAAAAGAAACCATAAAGAAATAACAGAGAATAAATGCAGAGCTGTGCTCTGATACCATGATAAAATTTAGATAACAATCATTCTTGCTTAATTTTTATTGAATGAAAAAGGAAAGCATATATAAGCGTCACCGTACAAGGCTGATAGAGTTTGTTATAACCATATTCTAAGAATCTTAGAACGGTGACAGAAGCCAATAATATGCTTCTAGAAGGCTGTGGAAGATTGTTTTGTAACTGACTCAACAATAAAGAAATGAAAGGGAAAAGCAAGTAAAGAAACGGTGAAGCAGAGACTGATGAACAAAGAAAGAAAATGGTAAGTGGGTTTCTGCTCTCTTTAATTAGGGAGCCCAAAGTACTCTTCTTGGGTCTTCTTGTTTAAAGCATAAGAGAGCCCATTTGTTGATTGGCCTTCAACTAGCTTTCTTCCCTTTCTTCAATCTTTGTGGTTCAGCTAACTTTCTTCCTTTTCTTTAATCTCAGTCGACTGTCTTCATCGTCATTAGTTAAATGAAAAATTGATAGAATTACGTAATTGATAGTTTAATAAAATAAAACTAACTTATAGGCAGAAAGAATAATACATTTCACGATCTTTTTTAGGTTATAAGAATTGTTCGATTCGAGCCTAGATTCAAATAAAATAGTACCCAATTCATTTTTTACGCTTTATGAACTATAGTTTAATGCCCGACGAAAGTCAGGATCCGCCACTGCTTTCGACGAAACGTTCCTAGAACATCAGATAATCATACACCACAAGCAAATCTAGATTTCAATATACAGATTGCCTAACCATTTGATGGAAGGGTGAAAATCACCCCTACTCTTGTACTGTCTAATTTAGAGAAGCCTCTTTAATATTTGACCAATTATGTAATAAAACGTGATTAACAAAGTTAGACGAGAAAGATAATTTGTCCTATTTTTTAGCAGTATAAGATTAATTTGTCCTAATTTTAAATAATATGAGATTTGATTCACACCATAATTGGATAGAGAAGTTAAAATGACCAAAACTCAATAGTGTGATTTTCACCCTTCAATGGAAAAGCATTGACATGTACAAAGACACTAGAGCCAGTTCACTTAAAACACAATATTCTCAGACTTCGAAAGACATGCGACCAGATTAAAAACCAACAATATTCCTATCATTTGAACCATCAACACGCTCTAATGGTTTATACAAAATGATCTCATCATCTTCCGTATTCACAAAACTCCAACCGAGGAACATTGCTCATGCTCTCCAGTGCTCGCGAAAATCAACCAACAATGGAACTTTTCCAAACTTTATTATTATCACGGGGTAAATCTAGCCTCAAAAGGTAGCTTCAAATGACATGGCCAAAAGGCATAAACTTGCAGATGAATCTGAAATCAAGATTTAATATCTACAATAAAGGACATCATTTGCATAAAGTACCTGCCCAGATGAGGGGAGGCTTGAAACTTTCAATTAATCTCAGAAAAATATCAAAGGACAGCTAGTGAGGTGGTTGCAAGCCATGCAATGCGCGCAAATCCCTTTGCAGCAGGAATGCAGGATCAAAGAGTCAACATTTTAAAAGGCATGTAGACTGCAGACGCTGCCTCTCAAAACTAGTTACTGCCACTGCGCTCCTGAATTTGGATTGATGTTTTTGATAAACTTGCCTCCAGCTCATTTAACTCATCCATGTCCAGTTCGTCGTCATCATCAGGAAGATCTTCAGCATCACCAACAGCTGCTTCTGAGGAGCTTGGTCCATCAGCAGTGGATTTATCATCAACCTGAGTCACAGAAGCAAACCATATTTCATTTTGGGGTAGATAACTTTAAATAGGCAAACATCCATTTCAGTTTATGGAGTCCAAAAATTTAAGATGCCAAAGATTGAAATGATTCACAGGATTCAATTAAATTGAAAAATCTACATCGTTCAAGAAAAAAAAATGATGTTTGTTATGACATTTTTTTTTTTTTATCCAATTAATGGAAGACAAAAACTATATCCATACTTGTCAATAAAAATCATCGATTTCATGTTGGTCAAACAAGCACAAAGAAATAAGAAAATAGAGCACCATGCCATCTTTCACCTAGGCTACCTTTTGAACCCGAACAAAGTGAAAAAATCATTATGTCTGAAACAGAAAAGATTAAGAAGACTAGTGAAGTTTTAAAATTTCACGAAGAGCTTGACGAGAAAATCAACAATGAAGAAACAATCACTTTTTTCTGTATGATATAATAACCTCCATATAGATCATATAATCTGATTTTTTGTGCTTCATCAGCCCCATAATTTGTTGTGCATCAACCTCATTTTATTGGGCATGCTAAAGCATCACTACTCTTCTGTATTTGACCATGTTACGAAATCACATGAAAAAGGCAAAGGGTTTTACCTTCTGTTCAGTACTGTCAGGCCCTTCCTCTCTTTGATATTTCTCATAAGCCTCAACATCATCCACAAACACACTGGCATCTGATAGAAATAGCTCCCGACCACTGAAATGGAAAGAAAAGTATAACAGATTTAGCAAATAATATCCAGTAAGCTAGGGCATGTATATACATCTGCAGATGTGTCTGCATATGTAGAAAGTGAGGGAAGATACCTCATACGATCATTCTTAGCCCTCTCATCCCTCTGAGCAGCCAAACCAGCATCTCTTTCTTCCATCTTTTTCTTCTTCCATTGCACGAACAGCTCAGGAGTCATAGGGGTTGTAGTTGTTGTTTTGGCACGCTAAAACCAAAAATGGATGTTTAATTAAAAAACCAATGGATAATGAAACTATTAGAGTGATGTAATTGGGAAAAATATCCTCCACTAAATGCTTAGCATGGCTAACTTGGTAAATGTATCACCTGATTTTCAATCTCCTCTTCAATGGAGATCTTTTCAGCCTCTTCTTCTAATAAAGCCTTCATCTGAGATTTCAAAAGATACCCTGGCGGAAGAGCATGCCGATAATGGCAATCTTTACCGCCATTTGGGCAGACCCAAAACCAACCATATTGTTTCTTCTCCACCGCTTCAAGAAAGTATTTGCAAACCTGCATATGTAAACATTTATTAGCATGCATTGTAAGTCACATCGATAAAACATTGGGCTAATTGCCCAACTAGACAACATAAATTATATCTCATTCACTTGGCCCAAATTAAGGCCGTAATTTAGAGTTAAATCATATTTTAGAAAGTCTTTTTCTTGATGCCAACCGAAATCCTTTGGAACACATCCTTCACCTGCTCACTTTTGTGTCTCTGTGTGTGACTGCACCTAATGTGCATAGTATATCAAAATTAAGAACAAATTTCCTGACTCACTACTTTTTCTAGAGATTCAAGTTCCTATTTTTTACTCTCCCCCTTGATCATATTCACATATAGGCACAAGTCACTTTCCCAAAACTTCATAATCAAACTCAAGATCATCTTTCCAAACTGTTAACAATGAAGTTAGTACAGATATTTAAAATCCCCTGATCCGTTGTAATGAACTAGCTAGGAAACAATTCTCAACTCCAACTTCATTATGTTAATCATACTTCAACAATTTATTTTCTAAAGCTTACTATCAACTGGATGTGGAGTATAGAAAAAGAATATAATATATTTAATGGAAAGAAAAACTTTTGGACATTTACAATCACTGTTTGTTTTCTTACTTCCTATGATAGAACATTATTAAAAGAGTACTTTCTTTTTTTTTTTTTGCTTCCATGTATCAAAATCCTCTAAACCATAAAGAAAGAGGCCATCAGTTCCAGGAATAGATCTAAAACAGAGAGGTGACTGTTTAACACACTAAATCCCCCCCCTCTCTCACTCACTCTCCAGGATTCAAATTCTCAGTTCATCTCTCAATTCATATCTATCAATGGTGTCCCAGATTGAAAAAATCACATTTCTCAGCATTATAGGTGGAAGAGTGGTTCTCATCAAGCATACCCCAAACTAAAAGGAAAAGACCTTCAACCAACAAATATGAAGTCCGTGAATGTAATATAAATTACACACAGGAATGAGAAGCTGATTACTGATTACTCATTCATGAAACAATATTACACTTTTTCAGATAGCAAACTTACAATATCAGTAGGTTTATTCTGCTGATACTCTTTTCCCTTTGACTCCACGACCTTCTCCAATGTTTCTTGGTCCCATTCCTCCATTGTATCTTAAAACCAAAACAACCAAATACATGTAAGAACAAACCTACCATAACAAAAGTATAGAAAAACAACCAAAATAAAACAAATTTATAACCGAACAACCTTGGTCACGCTTATCACTATAAATATCAATCTTTTCTCCTTTTCGCTGAACATTCAAATCATGTGAGAACTTGCATTTGAAACCTTTAGCACATTGCCCTACTTTGAAGAACTCGCACACTATCGACTTTGGATCGACACCTGATCAGTTAAGCTATTAGTATAACTCACATTGAACAAAAAATTGAATATAACAAAGCTGAAATTCAAATAAAAAACGGAAAAAAGGAAGAAGAAACATGGGTAATTACCAACAGGAACTTTGGGCTGGCTAACAGCAACTTTAAACAGTTCATTTAGCTCCTTCTCTTTAGCCTTCTCTTCCTCTTTCTTTTTCTGGTTTTTTAAAATTGTTTTATAATTAAATTCAATTACACATAAGATATCAGAACAGTCAAAATCACAGTATTTTTCACAGGATCGGTTAATCGATTAATCGACGCAAAGACTTGACAAAATAAATGATAAAATAAAAAAAGGATTGGAACTGTAAATTGTAAATTACCTTGGCGGCGAGTTTCGAGGCATCGGGTTGGGGTTGCACGTTTTGCTTCAGGGATTGTACATATTTTTGAACATTTTTGCTCTTGTTTTTGTTTTTGAGCCCGAAGGTCTTGTCTTCTACGATCTTCTGCTTCTTCGCTAAATCTACTTTTGATTGCTGCTTCGGCGGCATCTCTTATTTGCATCCAAATCAAAACAATACACACTCGCAACCAAATCGCTTTGATGATGCCGGCGACGGAGAGACTGGAGCCACTGGCAGGGCAGCTGGCAATTGCAGATGAGCTGAGGGAGGGAGGTAGGGAGGCGCGCGGTTTTGTTTGGTGTTTTGGACGGGGACGCTCCCTCCTGGGGGTGGGTTTCGGGAAGGTTCGTTTGGTTATGGATTGACCGATCTGTCCTTGGGATATCTCATGCGTGGCGCATTATGGTTGGAAATGGTGCGAATGGATAAACAATACGAGGAATGCGTTCTATATTGGTAAAAAATGGGAAGGAAGATTCCTTATATTCTAAGAAATTATGTTTTTCAATGCCTGAAATGGGAAGGAAGGTTAAGTAACATTTGGTAGTTATAACATAATATTTCTCAATTTAAATTCTACGAATTAAATTATCCAACTTTTTTTAATGTTAAGAAATTCAGTTGATGAATTTGCTAAAATTTATTGGCCATTAGAATATTTGTTTTTGCAAAGATTATTGTCCATTTCTTCAAGGTTTTTCTCCTTATTTTAACCAAAAATACCTACCTTCCAAATTCAATCCACTCCCAAATGCCAAACCCATAAAACCCCACAAAACCAAAACCCAACCAAAATAGGCACCAACTGTAGGCCAGAATGAAACAACTCCTCATCCTTGGCTCCTCCATTGTTACTCCTCCGACGAGCCCCTCCTCCACTCCTCACCACCACCAACACTCACCAAAACCCAAAACCCCATCACCCCACACTCTCCACGCTTCCTCCAAACCAACCCCCGCCGTCCATTCCCGCTCTTCTCCTCTCCTCTCCACCATCCCATTTCGCCAAAACCAAAACTCCTCCTCCCTCCTCAGTTACTATGCCAACCTTGCTTCAAAGCTGGCCGAGGATGGCCGTCTCCAAGACTTTTTGATGATTGCAGAGTCAGTGATTGCTTCAGGTGTTGAGGCTTCAAGTTTTGTTGCTGCATTAAGTGCGAATCCTGTGGCAAAGGGTATTTCAAAGAATCTTCAACAAGGAAATGTAGACTGTGTTGTTCAGTTTTTGAAGAAAACTGAGAATCTGGGAGTTTCCACTTTTAAGTTTCTTGATGGCGTTGCTATTGATTTGCTTAAAAAAGAGTGTCTCAGGATTGTGAATTTTGGTGATGTGGAGCAAGTTGTAGGCACAATGGAGACTCTTGCTGGTAAATTTCTTCAATTACCAATATCGACAAGAAACTTTAAATTTTCTTTGATGGGTAGTTTATATTTTAAGATTGATTTCAGAATTCAGCTTTAGTTAATAGTTACAGTGTTATAATTGAGAAGCTTTGCATTGTATATGTAACTAATATTTTGTGGCTGGTCAGGGTTTTGCTTCTCCTTCAAAGAACTAGTGGACCCATCTTACATTATTAAAATCTGTGTTGACAAACGTAATCCGAAGATGGCAGTGCGGTATGACCACTCTTTGCAAAATTTTATTGGTTTGATTTTTATTACAAATCAGTAAAACACGTTTGTTGCATTGAATCTTTGTACATTTTTTATTAATGTTATAATATATCATGGATGCTATAAGCACAGGTGTTACACAATGCAGGTATGCAGCCATATTTCCAGGTGAAGAACGCATATTCTTTTGCAACATTATAAGTGAATTTGGAAGAAAAAGGGACCTGGATTCTGCTTTGGTTGCATATAATGAAGCTAAGCATAAATTGAATGTTCCTAATATGTATTTACATCGTACCATAATCGATGTCTGTGGTCTCTGTGGTGACTACATGAAATCTAGGTATATTTATGAGGTAATTGATTTGACTACCTTCACCTGCTAAAGTTCTTTGGATTTGCTTATGAGCTTTATTTATTTTAAACATCTTACTTCTGGTTTAGTATGCATATTGACATTAAATAGTCTATCTGTTCCATGATCATGTTTTTGTGGCAATACCTAGCTACTTTGTTTGCATCTATTTCTTCCTTTCAATTGAATTGAGTGTTGAGCCCTAGATTCTTTAGCTAGGGTTGCAAGAAAACAAAGAAAAAAATGAGTTGGTGAAATATGACCCATTTTACTGGAAGAATTAGTATCAAACTATTCAATTTGTCAACTTGAAATATTTCTAAATTTCTAAATGGGTTTAGTACTATTTGTTGGCATAGATATGCATGTTCCTTCTACATAGAAGAGTGGGGTTTTTTCCCCTGTTTATTCCCCCTCACCCTTCAGTTCCATCCCTGAGCATGATTTCCTCTGTCAGATCTTCTGAGCTAATAAGCCATAATTTTTGGGCGTGCTGGAACTGAGTTTTGTATTTATCTTATGGATATAGGAGATAGCATTTTCTAGTCTTGCAAATTCATAATTGTCTGTCTTGGTAATTATTACTCTCCAATTCAACTTCTTGATGGCTTTGAACACGCACTTGTCTCTTGTTTTGCAACATTTCGGGAATTTTTTTGCTGGTTTAAGAATATTAGCTTGACAATTGAATCTTGCTGCAGGACTTGCTTAATCAAAAGGTCATCCCAAATATTTATGTTTTCAACAGTCTCATGAATGTCAATGCCCATGATTTGGGCTACACATTCAGTGTGCACAAGAATATGCAAGTAACTCTCACTCACTCCCCCTTCCTCTCTCTCTCTCAAACACATACACACACAGACAATGCATGCATGCATACCCACACATACAAAAACCAACACAAGCATAAATGTAAAGCACAAACTCACACTCAATGAACACGTCTTTTACAGGTGAGTTCCATTGTATTTGCAAATTTTCCAATGCCTTGACCTTTTTATCATCATTAAGCTTTTGACTTGAAGCTCTTCCATTATTTGTTTGACAGACATACAAAACAATCAAACTTTTAAATGATATACTTCATTTCTAGTTTCTCCTAACTCTGATATTGTTTTGTATATCATTAGTTACTTAATGAAATAAAATCTCAAGTTGAAACTTCTATGAAAACATCAAGCAAAAATATGAAAATCTATTCCAGTTCTAGTAAACTGTTGTTGTCCTTTTTATTCTTTGGACAGCTTAAATGCCAAAATATTAGTGCACTCCTATAACCATAAAATATTCTAACACCCCTTCTGCTATAAATCCAGAATCTTGGTGTCACAGCTGATGTGGCATCTTATAATATCCTGTTGAAGACGTGCTGTATTTCTGGAAGAGTGGACTTAGCCAAAGACATTTATAGGGAAGCAAAGCAGTTGGAATCAGCAGGATTGTTGAAGTTGGATGTATTCACATACTGCATGATCATAAAGGTATATCTCTGTGCAGGATATGAATGTCAATCTTACTGATAATAAAGAATGCAGTCTTGAAGATCTTTGAATCTGCTCCATAAAATCTTGTTTCCCTGCATAGTTAATTATATTTTCATGCACTGGCTTTGTTTCCTCGGAACTTCTTTAATCTATGAATTCTCCAGGTCTTTGCGGATGCGAAAATGTGGCAGATGGCACTTAAAATTAAAGAAGATATGCTATCATCCGAAGTTGCCCCTAACATGCATATATGGTCGTCGTTGATGAGTGCCTGTGCCAATGCAGGTCTTGTAGAGGAGGCAATTCAGTTATTTGAAGAGATGCTCCTATCTGGATGCGAGCCAAATTCACAGTGTTGCAACATTCTTTTACATGCATGTGTTGAGGCTTGTCAATATGACAGAGCTTTTCGTCTTTTCCAGTGCTGGAAGGGAAGTGAAGTCCAGGAGGTTTTTCATGGAAATCACAGTGGCAACACAGATAAGATTGAGCATACACAAAAACACTGCACTAATATGCCAGACATTGGACCAAATTCACATCATTTAAACTTTATTAAGAAATTTCCCTTCACTCCCACTTCAACAACATATCATATATTAATGAAAGCATGTGGTAGCGATTACCACCGTGCAAAAGCCTTAATGGACGAGATGAAGATGGTAGGAATTTCACCTAATCATATAAGCTGGTCAATCTTGATCGACATATGTGGAGGCTCAGGCAGTGTGGCTGGTGCAGTACAGGTAACATATTTTCTGCTGGAATTTACAAGATTTTTACTTTTTACTTTTGTGGTTGAATTTCTTATATCTGTGTATTGTGATTATTTCTTTAAATAACAGTTACATCTGGTTGAATTTCATCATATCAGCAAAACAAGAGGAAAATAACAAGAAAAGGTTCTCATTGTCTTGTCATATCTTGCCTGTTGCTCCATCCTTTTAATATTCCATCAAGTGACTAATTCTATGCTATTGGCTACACTGATTAAACCTTTATTCAAACAACTGTTTACATACATTCTTTGAAGCACAAACAACACTTGGAGCATACTTGATTTTCTTTTCTTTCTCAATACCTTTTCATAATTTCCTAGACCATTTCTTTCTCTGACAAGTCTTTTGCTTTTCTTCGCCATTGTTTCTCTCTCTCTCTCTCTCTCTCTCTCTCTCTCTATTTTGTCAAACTCATTGGAAAATAAGTTCTCTAACACCTTTTTTTTTCAGTGCAGATTTTGAAGACCATGCGTATGGCTGGAGTTGAACCTGATGTTGTTGCATATACAACAGCTATCAAGGTTCAAGTCTTTCTGTTAATTTTGATTTTGATGAATTTTGTTAACATTTGCGTTTGAATATATGTCACTGTTGCATTATGATAACTGAATTTGCATTATGTGCTGATTCATCATGTTCTTTTGTTCACAGGTTTGTGTAGAAACTAAAAATTTGAAGCTGGCATTTTCGTTATTTGCAGAAATGAAAAGATATCAGATAAAACCTAATTTGGTAAGTGCTAAGAGCTTTTATGCTTGTTTTCTTCAATTGTAATGCTCCATATTGCCAAGGAAAAGAAGTATGCCTGAGTGAAAATTTGGGGATGCAAGGTGACGAATCAGTTAGAATCAGCTCCAAGTTTGCTTCTATGTAAATGATCTGCTTTAGAATACTGCAAACATTAATGACTGAAAAAAAAAATTAATACTAGGTGATATCTTTACTTTATTTGCCAAGACATTTAAAACTAGAAGGACTGTTAATTTTTTTCACTGGAAATAGTTCTACGTGTTTCAAGAATGTAGAAGAATTTGTGAATTTTGTTTTGCATTTTGCCATGTTCACATTTGCAGATCATTTTCTGACCAGAGAAATGTGCATTCTCAAAATCCCAGCTTGAAAAAATAATTGAACTCTTTTTTCTTCTCCCAGGTGACATATAATACACTTCTAAGAGCTCGCACCAAATATGGTTCCTTGCACCAAGTACAACAATGCCTTGCTATATACCAGGATATGCGGAAAGCAGGGTATGCTAGCAAGTCCTATGATGTTTGTCTTAATGTGTCTTTCTGGAAACTGTATCACACTATCATGTTACAAATGTGCTGCTTTCTTTTTCCTCGCAGGACCTTGTGCTCGTTGAAATTTATTGTTAGGAACTGCAAATTCTTCTTTCCTTTTGTTGATTTCTCAATTTCAAGCATGCTATGTTGATAAGCCAATATTTTTACAGATTCATTCTAGATGCATATGCATAAAAAGGATTGGTTTACTGTGGTATTCCCGTCAACGCCCTTTATCTTGAGGCAATTTGATGTAGAATCAGTTGGATACGTTTTCCTTACAAGAGCATACCAATGTTGCAGGTATAAATCAAATGACTACTATCTCAAACAACTAATCGAAGAATGGTGTGAAGGAGTAATACAAGATGATAATCAGAGCCAGGATGGGTTTGCTTCTTATAAAAAAACTGACTTGGGAAGACCTCATAGTCTACTTCTTGAGAAAGTTGCAGTGCACTTGCAGAACAATATTGCTAAAAACCTAGCAATTGACCTTCAGGGCCTGACAAAGGTACAGTAAACATTTACAAGCGAATGTTGAAACATTATTTTATCTTGGTTAGATATTGGTTGCAAGAAGTCATTATAACATGATTCCATTACAAGGTTTCGAGACTCAATACTGATCCTGATCATTTCCTTCATGGTTTGAAGTTGGTTGCCCTGATAGTATACAATTTGCATATTATCAATAAGTTGTAGAATAAGAATTCTTGCTAATTTTTGTTCTCATTTTCTTTACCATGAATTGACAGGTCGAAGCTCGGATTGTAGTTCTTGCAGTTCTCCGAATGATTAAAGAGAATTATGCTTTAGGTATGGTAGCAATAGTCCCTGTGCGGATCATTGAGCATATTTACATATTTGAACTCTCCAAGAACAAAATATGAGAGTGATTAGTGCACAAGGCTGTTAAAATGAGCATAAAGTTGAATGCACCTAACCTTGAGCATTTTGACGTTATGCTAATTTCTTGTTGCAGGTTATTCAGTAGAAGATGACATGTGGATCACCTTGGATGTCAGTAAAGTATATAAGGCATCCAATCGAGTTTCAGAGGTGAAAAATGCAATGATTGAACTTCTTCAGAATGAGTTAGGGCTTGAGGTTCTGATTGCATTCCCAGGATATTTAGATGATATAAAGATAGGTTTGGAAAACCCACTAGATTTAGGTCCGGACTGGGAAGTGAGTTCAGCAAGGAACAAGAAAATGGCATCTTCCACAAGGCGCCCCATAGTAGGTGCACAGAGGTTAAAGGTTACGCGGAAATCATTGCACAAATGGCTGCATAGAAAAGTAGGTGCCATCGGAAGGTGATTATTGTTCAAGCACAGCTGACAAATTTTGTATATAACTATGTGCTATTCTTTTTATGTTTTTTAATAAAGCAGAATAAGTAGATGCATTTGAACACAGACGTATGATGCCATGTTAAAGTTGTACCATGGAATGCACAAAAACATAGTGGATATAAGATTCAGTGGTTTCTGCTACATTCTGTTCTCCTCCCTAATATTTGCTGTGGTTTTTAAATCTGCTTTACACCGTCGATGGCTGCAAGCTTGCAATTAACACAAACCTGTATAGTAACTCCAACTACTTCCAAAAACAACATAAGAGGAATGCAGGACAGCTTACAATTCCGAGAAGATTCTTTAGTACTTAAAAACACCCCATGAGTAGGATCAGGCAAGAAGTTCATATATTTGAAGTCAGGTGCCCATATGCCATCAAACCAAAGCCACAATTCACAAAATCACATAACTTGAAAGATCCGTTGAATGTTCAGGTAGTGAAATCCAGCTTTTGTTATCATTGATAAAGTGAAAAACTACATCGACATTGAAGCAACAAGAAAAATATACAATCTCTCATTGCTCAGCTCCCAAATAGCTCTCAAAGCCAATCCTGCTGCTGCAACTTCAAGGGCAAATAAACCTCGGACAAATACTGAAACCCAAACGAACTCAAAGCCTGAATCTCAGCCTTCTGTTTAGTCTTCACCATCAAAGTCAACTCCTCAACCCACCCAGGATTCTTCTTCACAAAATCCTCCTCCAACATATCCTTCCCAGTCTTAATATCCTGCTCCGTCATCGGCAACCTGCATTGCTCAGGTATCTTGTACTTATCCAAATCACTAGGCCTTATCCCTAGCCATTTAATATCCGGAGTGGTCAAATTCGCACTATCATATGACATATTCTTCGACCCACAACCATAAACAGATAAAATCTTCAACCCATAGGGATCACTATCAACCAATGCCAAAACCGGTAACTTCAATTCCGTCTTCATTTTCCTCAAAAACAACCTCGTAGCCACATCTGGCTGCCCTTTGGCCGTCACAATAATACAAGGAAAGCGATTATAGAACCTATCCTCCGCTAACCTAATATACGCAGCATCCTTCTCAACTAACAAAATAAACAATGCATCACTCTGCATATCCCCAACTCTATCAATATTCGGCGGAATCGCTTTCCCTCCCATTCCCATTTTAGTACAATCAATCATATCCCCATTATCGCTAAAAATCAGTCTCCCAACTACAACCCCCTTCTCGGCCGCAATCACATTAAGAGAAGACCTAGTACACCCAAGCATACACGAAACATCATCAAGAACAGCATCAGATTGTGTCTGATCCTGAAACAACTTCACATCAGTGTAAAACAAGTCTCGCTTGGTAACATGAATGTTTTTGAGACAAAGCTGGTGGATTAAGGAAAGGATCCTCGTAGTTATTGTGCATTTGCGGACCGAGGAAATGTTAGCAAAAGGGCGGAGGGTATTTTTGTCCTTTAAGACGATGCGGTCGAGTTCCGGGACATAGAGTTGGTTAGTGGCGGCGCGTGAGGGGACATTGAAGGAGAAGCCCTTGCCGGAGAGGATTGATTGAACGATGGAGATGGTTACGGCTTCGATTTCGGATTGGACGGAGGTAAGAGAGAGGTCGGTGACTTCTCGACAGGAGGAAGAGAGTGATAGGTCGGACAGGGTGAGGGGTTTTGAAGAGGAGGCGGAGGCAGTGGAGGTCAAGAGGGATTTTAGAGTTTGGAGGATTACAGAGTCGGCTTTTAGACGGTCTTTGAAGAGGAGTTCGGTGGAGTCTGGGTCGGGTTGGCGACGTTTTCTGGATTTGGTGGCGGTAGTGTCGGCCATTATGGTGGAGAGGCGGGAAATAGGGTTTTTCTCTCTGTCTCTCTAACTTATTAGGGCTTGCGAGATGTGGGAGACGAATATGGAAAGACGACCGTAAATTGGGTGCGGTTTGAACGACACCGTTCTGTCGCATATCCTTGACTGTATAGTCACTAGTGGGTTGACCCGGGCGATTCCGGGGAATTTTAAAAAAAGAACAAATTTGATAGACAAATTGGGTTCAAAAATTGAGACCATTTTACAATTGCAACTTCAGATTCACGACTTCAGACGCGCTTTTTTTTTTTTTTCTTTTTTTGTACTTTTAGAACTTTTAATTGCTTGTATAATTCAAATAAATTTTTTATTTGTTATTTTTTTCAAAGTAATTTTTATATAGATTTTCTATCCAACTGCCATATTGAAAAGAGCGAGGAAATTAGAGGACCAAGTAAAGAAAACATTAATACAAAAAGAAAAAAAGAAAAGAAAAGAAACTGTTTTGCAATTAGTAAAGAACAAAAGAATTCAAAAATTGAGACTACATTTTTTTTTTTTGGTCCGTCGTGAAGTTAAACTTCTCCAAAACCTGGAAAAAATAATTAAGTGTAGAAATACAATAATATTTTCATATATAAACATATATTATACGGAAAATGAATAGTTAAAAAATACAACAAAAAGGAAAAACAATTGCAAATGTTAGATCCGAATTCTTTGCTTGTTATCATCTATAAAATCTACTCATAGATCGATGGATACCCTGCAACTTAATTTGTAAAATCTATATATCTTTAGTTCAAAGTGTACAATCCGAAAGCATCCCTTCACTGATTTATCTGGCTCTCAATTTCAAAGCCCTTTCGTTTCGTCTTTCCTTTCTCTTTTTCTCTTCTCCATTAGTACAATCTTGGACCGACGGGCTTCTGAGTCTACAACATGGCAGAAAAAATTGATACAGAACCCTAAAAAAATGTAATTTTACATAGAAAAAATTGAATTCACTTTACATTGATTTGGTTCAAGGAAGTTTTGGTATAAAAGTTTTTACATGTTCTCCTCCAGATTTGGGTCCTCCGTGATATATGAGTTTTCTTCCCACATTTTTTGCTTTTTTGTCCAAATTTATGTTGAATATAAAAATGTTTCCTCTCTGGCTTTTGTTTTCCATGTTTAACGTTTGTTTGTGTTTTTATTTAGTGAATCAGCCCTTCTGAGTTCTTGGTGAATGATATGATCTTTTTTTATCATATTTATTTATTTTTGTTACTCTAACATTAAATTTAATATCAGTGGGTTTTCATATGGTTTTTTATTCTTCTTCTACTCGGATTTCATTTATTGGGATTTGAGTGGCTTTGACAAGCCAAAAAGCGAGGTTTGTGGACTTTCGATTTGTTGAATTCCATGAATATTATTTTTGGGTTTTTCGGACTAATGATGTTATTGAACGTCAATTTTAGTTGATTCCTATGGTAGATTTTTCAAGATTGTACTAATTTTTTGGATTTGAATGGGAGATAAATTGTATACAGGAAAAGAAGTAACGTAACATATGTATATCAAGACATTAATTCAGATGTTTGTGAAGTTTTCCAATGAACATAGAAGGAAACCAGGGAAGCAATATTTCACTTGAGACCGAATACCTAGCCAGTGGGAAAATATGGTTATATGATAGGACGGTGGTAATCAGAATAAAAATTTTATTCATGACTTATAGCTAGTGGAAATGAGAACGAAATTAAACATAGTTTTAAATATAGTTTTATTTTTATATAGAAGGTGAGAATAAAATGAATTTTTTTTCAAAATATTAATATATTATTCTTATTTATTATGTATCAATTACAATCTCATTATTAGTAATGGTTATAAAAAAAATTATTATTATTGTTATTTTGCCACCACTCTTCGTCAATACCACCACATCACTATATTGACAATGATGATAAAAAAAAAAAGAATTATTATTATTATTATTATTTTATCATCATTTCTTCTACTACAACATTCATTGTTATTATATCACAAATATTGCTCTTCTTTTACTACCACCTTCTATTGTGATAGTATCATTTTTTAAAAAATATATTATTTTTATTATTATCACCTTCTTCTCGTCATTCTCCTACCGCACCACTACAATAATTAGCTCTCTCTTTTTTACTACTATAATAGTTAATAAAATTTATTTTTAAATTATTATTTTTATTCGTATTAAAATTAGATAATAAAAAATCTTAATTTAATTTCAATTTCTTACTACTATTTCAAATATAGCATGAAAACACAAATGTCATTTTGATTTTTTAATTTTTTCATTCTAATTTTCTAATTTTCATTTCGATTTCTATATTTTTATTTCGAATAATTCATTTTTGATAACCAAACGATACTTTAAAAGAATATGAATCAGATTTAGATATGATTGTATATATGAGACATCTAAGAGAAATACGTTAAACAAAAGCATTAAAAAAAAAACCAGCAATAAGTAGAAATGCATTAAAATAAGACTATGTGATGCGTATAAACATGGGAAAAGGAAACAAAATGCTGAAAAAAAAAGTTCTTTAAAAAAGGCTATATAAATAGTCGAAACCTCCAAATCTTCTTCTTCTTCTTCTTTTCAGTCCTAAATGGATGAATTTTTATCAAGAAAAACAATGCTAGCAAACAAAAATAAAAAAATAGAAATAATGCTTTTTTTTTCAAAATTTATTTTTTCATTCGATAAAAAAGTAATAAAATCATTTGACACATGTCACAATCTTATGAATCTAACTGTAAGATTTAACTTCGTTAGCTTAAAACATTAATGGAAGAATATAAAATGGCAAGAACAAATGTTGAGGGATAAGATTAAAAAAATAGAGAGACCTTGTAAAATAAAATAGAGAGTAGAAAGACCTCTTAAAAACAAATCAATAGTAAAAAAACCTGCAAGCATTAACTCGTTTAAAAATAAAACCGGCTTAGTTTTTTTTTTTTTTTTCTATTCAATGATAAAAGGAATTATTGAACTATCGAAATTAAATCCCTTTCTTTTATAATTTTAAGAACACACATCTCACGTGACTTCGAGCATTTAAAGATAATAAATTTCTTAAAATATTACTCCAAGGTTCAAACAAACTTGGATTTTAATAACATCAGCCCATAAAAATATAAAGAAAAGATGAGTCTTGAGAGATATCAATTGTTGTCATGAAAAAAACCATGTTCCTAATGTGTTAATCTATATGCAAGAAATTGGATTGTAACGTATATTCAAAGAGTATTGCACATTTTTACATCCACAAATGTTTGGAGGGATTCCACCAAAAAAATTTAGGTTACTTTTATGAATGAAATTAATCATACTTAGAGAACCATAATTCGAAAAAGTCAACAACGAGATTCGAATTTAAAACTTATAAGTTCGATGAATTTTCTCCTCACCATCTAAACCAATCTTTTAAAGATATTTTTTCATTATTTATCAATACACAACAGTGCTAAATTTATTAATAAAAAAAGGCACCCGCATGCAAAGCATCGGCCAAACGCTAGTTAGCTTGAGTAAATGGGTAGCTTGATAAATGGTTTTTGCTTCAACGCCATGCAATAAGGTAATCTATTGTTATCATAATTGTCCTTTGCTTCAAAACCAACATTTCTATTGTTGGGCGTATACTATAAGTCTAGTATATAAGTGATCTTAGTATAACCCATCAGAAAAAAGATTAATTAGAAAAAAATATTAATAAAAAAATTGAAGTTAAATAAGAAAAGAATTATTATAAAACTAAAAAGAAAAGGTTTGTCTTCTTCTTCTTTTTTTTTTTTTTGCCAATTAGAGCAATTGGAGAGAAAAAAAATTAAGTAAGGATTTTTCTTTTCTTTTCTTTACAAATTATGTAAAAAGAAGGCAATGAAATTTTTATTTTTTTTTGTTCTTCGAAATTTTCTTTAGTATTGCTTTTTTGGTACTATAATCACAAAGAATTGTAATGTTCAAGTTGGTGGTCTTATATAATATTGGACTTTACAAAAACACAAAGATTTCATAAATTTCAAATTTTAATGGTGAAACAGATCTAACTAGAAAAGTAACTTATATTATTGTTAATATTTTTGCTTCTCAAGTTCACGGAGAAACTCGAGTGATTGTATTGTTTTGTTAATTATAATGGATTATTTTGAAGTTGGTTTGGTGGTTTTTTCTTTTACGATAGCGAGAGTTTTTCACGTAAATTTAGTATTCTCATGGTTATACTTTTGTGATTAATTTATTTTTTGCTCTTGATTATTGCATTTGTTTAGTTTAATTATTTTCTCACAAAATCTAATTTACACATAGTGGAATTAAATTTTCAACAACAGTATTAGATTTTTTGGTGGAATGTTTAAATTAAACGAAGAAAAATATTTATGGAACCATGATCAAATAGAAGTCTGAAAATTATTTTATTTGAAACCGATGATGAAAGATTTACTTAATTACCATAATTTATTTGTTTCGACCGAATTAGGTAAAGTTAAGCGAACCGGCAAGACCGATAATACGTTGGAAAAAGGGTCATAAAAAAGCTATTGGAGTTACCGGGTAATAAGTGGACAATAATGTGTCTCACCAAGTATCTAAAGAAACAAATGCTCAAGAACTATAAAAAAATTAGAGTGTATGAAAAAAGATTGCAAGGAATAAAACTTTTTTTTTATTAGAAAGCTTGAGAATTTGAAACACTAAGATGGAAAAGTCTCGTTGTTGAACACTTGAGCGACTTTCAAGATTTGGTTAATTACACGATGATCATGAAAATAGAGCTAGATGACGAGTTAGGAGCACTATTGCTATTGGAGACTTTGTCGGATAATTTGAAGACTTTGGTTGTAACATTTGATAATTTTGCTTCGAATGAGGTTTTATCGCTTTCCATGATTAAAGATAACATGTTCAATGAAGCAATAAAACGAAACAAAGTGATAGCAGATGAAACACAAGCTCTTGTCACAAAAATAAAAGGAATAAATAA